TCTTAGAAAGCAGGCTGTGTGAAGAATCGTCTTTATTCATTTGTGTGTGTTTTCTTATCAGGCTGTTGGACTATGTGATGTGTGACTATCGCACAGAGCGATGGTGGGGTCTCCTGACAGCCATATTGACCACAGCTCTACGCTGTGCTTATCTGATGGCTAGTATTAAGGACTACATTATCTACTGTATGGAGCTGCTGGGCAGAGGTGAGAAAAAAACAGAACTGAAAACTCTACGACAAAACATCAGGAATAGTTAAAGAACAAAAGATGCCAAATAAAACACAATCATTTAATCTGTGGGGTGGTGTTAGAAACTGCTGCTGACACTTTTCCTTCTTTTGTTTAGCAGCTCAGAACATTGCGTTTGGTAAATCTGAGAAATTTGTTGCAACTGTCCAAGGATGTTTAAAATATCAAACATGACGTTTGAGTGGAAAACTGAATAATATCAGATCAGAAGACTCACGCTGATCTTGTCTTTTAGCTTCCACCCTCAAGGAGGAGCAAAAGTCAAGGATTGAGAGGAATCTCATCAAAGTCCTCACGGTGAGCTGAAGGCTTCCACCAATCTAATAATCATGTTGTGGATTTCAAACGTTAATATAATTGTAGTGTGTTTCGTAGGAATGAAATGCTTAAAAGCTGCAGTTTGTAGCTGTGTTGTAAAGCTCAGAGCAGAGGTCAAATCAAAATTGATGCATCCACATATTTTAATTTCCAGAACGAGGTCCCAGATGCTGAGCCGGAGTGTGATCCGTCTTCTGTCACTGCTGCCAGGTCTTTGTGGAATGACCGCATGGCTTTGGCTGGATCGAACGAACTAACTATAGAAGTGCAAGACTACATCCCATTCAGTTAGTAAACACACGATTCGCTCAAAACAGGGTTTTAGTTCCTCTTTTATTGTTTACATGGCAGGAAGAAAAGGTGCATGCTGACGAACGATACTGGGTTTAGAAAGAGTTTAGTATAAAATGAGATCCTTCTTAAGTAATAAGTTGATGCAGCATTCTTCTGTATCTCTTTATAAATGGGTTATATTAGCTGTCCTTTGTTTCTTACTCCAGTCCAGTGTAAAGCCAAATTCCAGTCTCCCAGTTTCCACGTGGACCAGCCTGTCCAACTGCAGGTCTTCCTCCGAGCTGACTGCCCTCATCCCGTGTCTTTCAGCAAGCTAGCTGTCAGCCTCAGTAACCAGGTACGTGCTGTTTGCACCTCCACCTCCAGGTGTGATGTCAGCTTGGAGCGCTTTGTCTGTACAGCGTCCCACAAAAGCAGCTTCAGGTGAGCTGGTGTGTGCTCAGTCCACACAAACTGAGCACATTCAGGCTA